GTGAACGCTAATTGTTTCTATCCTAACACGGTTGAATAAGTCATTAGCTAGTCAGATAAATCAAGAAGATGGCTTTAGCACAAACGATTATGCGTATAAAACTTGAATTTCTATATCACCATATCACAATAATGTCCGTTACAATTTAGTTCAGAGTTGGTCAAATTTGCTCTTAAAAAAATGAGGTTCATTGGCAAATTTTGGTTACAAACTTTATTCCAATATTTAACACAAAGGCAATAATCGCTTAAAGGCCTTGCGGGGTGGACATTAATTTATCTAGTTGATAGCTGCTAATTCAACTCGCACGTTGAGAATATAGATAATCAAGAATATCTTTGCAACTTCGGCTCTAGCGAGGGGCTTTTGGAGTATAATAATCTGATATTATTAGTCAAGCCAATTAAGACAGTGACAAAATAGATCAGCTAGAGACGCGGAGCTCACCTGAATCTTTGAACATGAATTAAAATTGCGCCTTGACTAGAAGTCTTGGAATGGTTAGTGCATTCAGACCATTTTGAGGAGTCATATGAACTATTCTGCTTTACATAATGAAAGGGTTCGACACTCATATCTCCAAAAAGATTCACAACTTCGCACTCCTGGCAGATAAATAAATAAATAATAACTAGTTTATTACCTTAAATATTCTGTCGATTTTTGATATGCTTATTTTTTTGGCCATCTTGCTTAGTGAAACGACGACTTGCTTCCCGTCAATTATTCGAGAAGAATCAGCCAAATACAAAGAAAATGCGATAACCTTAACTCATATAATGTAACTAATAAATTACCATAACCAGCGTATGCTTTTCTTCTGGGAGCACATAAATCTTGTTCTCATACATATTGACACTGTTGTTAATTATTTCAGCAAGAAGTTCTTCGTAACCGTCAATAGTCACCAAACGTTCCTTAAGAGTATCCCTAATTATCTTCTGTTTTGCAAGAAACATGCTGACTTCTTGGGATTCTTTCATTAGCTCAGTATCATGATGGCGAAGAAGCTGAGTAGCACTGTTTAAAAAAATAATGCATGTACGTTTGAGTCTCTCGACGCCCACATACAAAGTTCGAAAATGAACAAATTAATGCTGGTGCAAAAAAGTAACAAACAGTCACGATAACAGTCAGAATTATAAGATAAAGAAGTACCGCTTGTAGTTAGAGTAATCGTTTTTCATGCTAGCCTTCATATTCTTCATTTCATCCAGGACTACAAACATTTTTAACATCTTCCCGAGCGTCAACAGATAACTTTGGCTAACAAAGAAATTTTTCTGGTCTTTATGTGCAAGGCGCCTCATTTCTTCAACGAATCGGTCTATCGCAGAGTCCTAAATGGTAATAAAAGCGCGTATAACTACCTGAAAATTCTTAAATTCCCTCAATTTTTGAGCATGAGGCTCTAGGATCTCAACGGTTTTATGATAAATTTCCATTCGGTGAGGCTGTTCATTTGATCTTATCTAAGCTAAATAACAAATGAAAAATACAAACATGAGGGAGAGCTCTCGACATCGAGCGCCAGGTATATAGCATTATAGCATACTCTAGACCCTGCTCAAGAAGAAGATTGAGCTGCGCATAAACACGTGCATCCTCCGCCGACCGCGCAAAAGCTGATTTAAATGCTGCGATATCTTCAAAGTTTGTATCGGTATTTGACTAAATATAGAGATAAGACATCTATACTAACCTGGTAAAGCACGGAGAAGCTGGATGCTTGTATTGCTGGAACGTCCTCAACCAGAGAAATATCAAGTAATAGATTGACTTTATGCATAGCATCTCCCAGATGAACTCGGGGCCTTTGAGCCGCCTCCATGTGTAGCAGTTAGTAATAAGGAAGAGGGTTATTCATTTGTGCCGCCACCAGCTAGCCAAATATGGAAGCACCATAGATTTTATCAAAGCTAAGCAGCCCAATGATTTGATAATTATTATTAATATGTAGGGATTTTTTGGCGACATTTTGTAATGCAGGTTTTTAAGGCGGTAGGTTCATTTGTTCGGCATTCTCATTCGTTTAGACAACTGGCCTCACTGGTCTTCGGGTTCACAAAAGCCCTCATGCGGTAAACTAGGTCATTTTTATTTAGATCAGGCTCTCAAAGCATTATATGGTCGCACCTTGAGAATTGTTCAGACACTGCCGAATGACGCGGCCTATCGCAGACACACTGAAGCCGTTCTCACCTCAAGGCTTAAGGCTGTTATGATGGTATTAAATGCTTTATGCCCATATTTCAGGAATCCGACGTCTTAAAACTTGAAAAACTTATAGGAGGAGGTCAAGTTGAAGAATTAATCACTCAGGTCTTTCTTAAATAATCTGATATCTCTAAAGCTATCACTATAGATGTTTACTCGCTTTGCTCTTTTCTTTAGGCTAACCGAGAATACGATCTTGCAAAAATGATGCTTCGCCACAAAGTTTGGGAGCCACTTGTGGAAGAACCACATCCTGATCAATGGAAGTGGCCGATTTAGCCTTGCGCTGGATCCTCAAATATTCTTGTCCTGATCAGTTTCTTCTTTTTAGCTGGATCTGCTATGTGTACCATACATTTCCGTCTCCGTCTTCTCATATAAATCACTCCAGTAG